GAACGTTATTCTCCACACGAGACGGCAATTTCGAGCTCGCCCACTTCTCAGCTGATAGTGACTACCAGCAATACCCACTTAAAGTGATAAGGACCTTGTACGTATCCTAGGCCTGCTAACTACTCATAAGTAGGTATTTTACCAAATTAACGGAGGTGCATTTTTAATCAAATCTCTAGTCATTCCGTGTCATTTGATATAAGTTAAGCACGAAAAATTGTGATTTTTCCACACAGAAATTACTATATCTCTGAGTTCCCTTCAATTTCACACTTGACAAGTATTTTACGCTCTACTGGACTCGACAACAAATTCTCTCTTGCCTGAACTCATCTCATCAGATCCCAAAATTGGTATCTAATCCGGCCTAGCTTGGTCTATCCTCGGGGTTGGACATGTTCGTGTTGTGGGATTGTCGCCGGCGCTCCTCGTGGAATGGCTCTTCTCGCTTCTTCCAAACCGAGGCCAGCCTCGACAGGTTGCATGGCTGCGCAGGCCACCGGCAGATTAAGACGTCAGCAGAACGCCGCAAATCGATGCGGCGCAACTCAAGCGGAACCGATCTGCTCCGACCACGTGATGGATCCCGCGATTATCCGGTTCGCGAGTGATGCTGTAGGCCGATGGCTGTCGCATCGAGGTCTGATCACCTGACCCCATTCTGTATGGCGCTATGCAAACGCGGCTGATGAGATATCGTCTGACCGGAGCCGGGTGTGAAACTTGGAGTCGCGGATTGGCAACATGAAGTTTTGGACTAAGAACCAAGAACTCACAAATCGCAAATGAGAATAGTCATCTCGCAAAATGGAACTCGGAACTATGAAGTCGGAAGAATGAAAATAGCAACTCGAAACTCAGAATTTGCATCATCCGAATCGCAATTCACAATCTGGAAATGAGAACTTATAGTGTGACTCGGAGTGTGACCTCAACTTGCAACTGGCAATTGACAATTCGGAATTCAGAAGTCGCATAGCACAATGCGAGACTTGCAACTCTCAATTCACAAAATGGGCACATTCAGTTTGCAACTCGAAAATATAAAGTTGGAACCGTCAATTCACAACTCGAAACTCGCAATTGGCAATTCTAGAACTGGAAAGTGGGAACTAGCAATGTAGAACTCAGAGCTGGGAAATCGCAATTCGGAAATAGGAAATGGGATATCACAATTTGCAACTTGGAATTTATAATTCGAAATTCAGAAGTCGCATATACCAATTCGAATCTCGCACTTTTCAATTAACAATCTGGAACTGAGAACTGGGAACTTGCACTTTGGAACTGGGGATAGAAGCTCGCGATTTTGAACTAGAAAATAGGAGATAGCATCTCACAACTCGGAACACGCAACTCGCAATTTGCAATGTGGAACTCGTAAGTTACACTGTGACTCGGAGCAAGGAACTCTAAACACGAAGAAAGTAAGTGGGAAATAGGAAACCTCAACTTGCAACTGGCAATTGACAATTCGGAATTCAGAAGTCGCATAGCACAACTCGAGACTCGCAACTCTCAATTCACAAAATGGGAACATTCAGTTTGCAACTCGAAGATAGAAAGTTGGAACCGTTAATTCACAACTCGGAATTCCAAAGATGCATATCACAACTCGAAACTCGCGATTGGCAATTCTAGAACTGAAAGGTGGAAACTAGCAATGTTGAACTCAGAGCTGGGAAATCATGATTCGAAAATAGGAAATAGGAAATAGGAAATAGGAAATCACAACTTGCAACTTGGAATTTATAATTCGAAATACAGAAGTCGCATATACCAATTCAAATCCAGCACTTTTCAATTCACAATCTGGAACTGGGAACTAGAAACTTGCACTTTGGAACTCGGAGCAAGGAATTAGTGACCCACCTCTTGCAACTTGCACTTCACAAGTGGGAATTCAGAAGTCGCATATCGCAACATAAAACTGGATATATGACCTGATCTCTTGAAACTATGATCTAGGATCTCACAGTTCAGAACTCACAACCAAACTCAAAGTCGACCATCACTTGACGGCTCTGAGGCTCCGACAACTCGTCGTCCCTTCGAGTCACTTTTCATACAGCGACCATCCATCTGTCGTGCCAGCCATTCGCCCATTCTGCATTTGATCCAATGAGAAGCCAGTTTGATCAGCCGATCAACCGCTTCCGATGGCCTCTCATACGGGCCGATGATCGTGTCGCCTGGGCCCCGTATTCTGCATCATCAGCTCGTCTACCCACTCACCGGCTGGCCATTGTAGCCGAATAATATGGCCGGCTTGATCTCCGGAATGCCAAAAACAAAATGTGTAAATCACATATAAATATATAATATTATGTAATATTGTATATAATGGTATTATATTTATATTAAATTAATTTTATTTATGTTATTTATTCTAACTTAAAGTAATTAAATTGGTTCTTTCTTAAACTCTAGAGTGCCCATAATAGATAATATAAACTTTATCCTTATCTACTTATTTATATAATACATCATATGATGTGTAGAACGAATTTTAGCTTTTTGAAAGAAAAATACTGTCAGTTTGATCTCTAAACTGCTCATAAGAAATTGCATAAATTATTAATTAATTAATTAATTAATTTTATGTGTATGCATATACTATATTTATTCTTGTTATATAGGAAAACTAGCTGGGATTCGACGACTGAAGCAGCATTCTTGTGATGACTTCATTTCTTGTAATGCGTTGGTCAATCTTACCAGAAAACGATGTATCGTTCCTATCTTTTTGAGTCGTTTAATCTGTTCAGTTCATTCAAGTTGACGCAGTCGGAGACAGACATCCTCGTTTGATTCAGGTGAAAATGGTGTGAGTCTTTTTTCTTCATACGAAGCTTTTATTCATACGCAAGCTTCAAGGCAATAGAGCACATTATCTCGACTTTACAAGCCTACTTTATGCTCACAATTAACAATACAGAAAATATACATTTATAAATAAATATATATATATATATATGTGTGTGTTTATTTGTGTGTGCATGTGTGTGGATTAACAAAGATCAAATTGGTTACTTCTGTTC